GGAAGCTTCCTATGGCCTCCAAAAGTAAATTATTTATCTTTATTTGAAGTATAACAAAAAAACTAAGATTAATAAGTAACTTTTAAAGCCCAAAGGAAACTCCTGAAAACGCGCAAGCAGACGTGATAGACCTGTGCGTCGGTCAGATGACGGCGGCGGCGCCCCGAAGCAGACGAACTTCCGCGGCAGCGACGACGGCGGCGTGGAGAAACGCGTTGAAGCGGCGTCGCACAACGCTCAGCGTGCGGCGGCGGCGTGACTTTGCGGCAGAGGCGACGCAGCGCGGCGGCGCGCGGGCCTGTCACCTGACCAGCGGCAGCTCCCGTGGGCGCAAACTACGAATTCGTTTTGCGCCGTAAATATAGCTCTATTTTTTTTTCTTCGTTGTAGATTTCTTTTATAATATTCTTTTTCCGTCTAGCCTGTTAAAAAAAAAGTTTTATTTTTCCTTTGCACGTGTCGTTTAAGGAAATGGTGCGGTAGTTAAGAGGGCTACGTTTATCGCCAGACTTATGAAGTGAAACCACCTTCCCTATTTTCCACTCTTCAGATAATACACCAAAAGCAAGAGGTTGTTCAAACATCTTAAAAAGATAAATTGAGATAAAATTTTTTTTTGTATGAAGAAGTACAGGGGTTATATTGTCAACATCAAAGGAATAATATACCTTTAAGTTATCAATCAGCTTTAGAATCCCGTCACAGTTAATAAGAAGGGGGTACATTGGAAGACATTCAACATTAGGGTGGCAACCTTCATCTTGACCAACGGTTTTTACAAACGTATCATTTAGAATAGAGGCCCAATGATCATTTGCGAAACGGCATTCCTATTTCCAGTGAGTGAAAGCACGCTCCTTTTGTTTCCGATCAACATACACCAAAGTTGGTGTGGATTCTTAAATAACATTAAAAGGATAGGTCACCTAAAGATGTTTGCTTGGCGTCCTTGATGGGTAATTTATAAGCCTTCTCAATTACGCTATAGTTTTCCCAACGTGCGACGCTACAAGATAGCTTTGCAGCACGGAACAAAAGTTCATTTTTATTGTTAAGGTGCTCAAGTTTTACATTAAGCCTAGAGAACAGGGAATTAGACTTAATAGACCTGTATGGAATGAACAAGCTATTACAGATTAATTTATTAGAGCGCAGCTCTTAGGCTCCCGTTTCCCGGCTTGAGTGGTGTCGCCATCGCTGTCGCCGTAACCGCGCGTTGCATTATGGGACATTTTCCATTATGACTTCACACGTCACGTCACATGTGACGTCACGAGATCAGGAGTGACGTCACGAAGGTCACTCGTGAAGGTAATAACGATGGTCACGACCTTCACAGTGAAGGTCACGACCTTCGCGAGGCCTTCACGAAGGTCATGAGTGACGTCACGAGGGTCACGAGTGACTTCACGAACGAAGGGGAGGGAGGAGCGGGGGAGAAGGAGAAAAGGAGGAGGAGGGTAGGAGATTGGAGAGGAGGAGAAGGGAGAAGGGGGAGAGGAAAGCGGGGAGGAGGAGGAGGAGGGAAGGAGGAGGGGCATACCCTTCTCTTCGCACCCTCCCCCCCTCCTACTCAAGAGCTGCTTTCAAATTCGTTATTAGAGAAAGTTGTAAACGTCTTTCATTTTTTTTAATACGGTCCAATTGATCTTAGCCGAAATTTCCGAGAAATGAAGAAGAAATTCATTAAGGAAGCCAACTAATTCATTGTTTATTGCATCAAACTTTGCTTTACTATATTCAAAGGAATTGTTTGTTGATCTACTTGAAATACACATTGCAATAAGTAAGCTGTAAATGTAGAATAAAATTATCGTTAATACCCGGTAGCTAGGTTAGGAAAGATGCAAGCTTGGGGTTAGAGAGAATAACCGCTCATTCACACTGGAAACGGATCCGCGTTCGCAAAGCGGTTGCGAACGCGGTTGTATAAAGATCCAGTACAATTGCACGTGCACTTGATGTCATCGAGTGCGTGTGCCATTGTACTGGATCTTTATACAACCGAGTTCGCAACCGCTATGCGAACGCAGATCCGCTTCCAGTGTGAATGAGCGGTAAGACCGTACAGTGGCCATAGAATCAGTGACTCGAATAAGTTTAGCCAGAAGTTCCTAAAAATAGAAATGCGAACAAAGACTGAGGAAGTCGGAGTAGATCGTACGATTGCAAGTATTAGTTGGAAATGCACCAGACCAGTCGATAAATGGAAGGTTAAACACGCCGAGAGCAAACAAGGGTGCAAAAGGAAACCTAGTTGTAATTGTGCATAACGCATCATGCGAGTCAGGACAAAAATATGTTGAAGCCTTCGGCAGATGATAGCAGGCACGCAAAACAACATTTCAAGAGTTTAAACGCGTGCGAGCCAGTTCAACTGGGGTAGCAATATCTAGATGATAACACGCAAAGTATTCATTTACTGCGATTATAACTCTAAGCTAAGACCTATACGGCGTTACACAGTAAAATATTTTATTACCGCGATTGCCCGATAGCCTAGTTTGGGTTAAAATAACATCGTTTGATGACACGGCAATATACAACCGTTATGGTTACGAACAAGACTTCTTATATCCGTAAACAGAAATGAAATCTTATTTGAAAAGCTTGGGAACTAAGCGGTTGTTTAATATCAACATTCTTTAACCATTAAGTCGCAACTTTATTATGGCATTGTCTAACTAGTTTGGGCTGCTTTCATTGATTCGGCTAGTCTTATTATTAAAGAGATATTGTATCTCTCCCATATACAACTTGCAAACGCAAAGTTTGTGATGACTTCCTTCCGTACGGGAAAATTCTAATAGCACCTTTCTGGCGAATGGTACATTCTTTGTATAGCCTTCAATATCCGAAACGTTGCTGTCTTTCAGCTTGGAGCACGATCTTAGCAAAGTTTCTTAATCATTAAAAAAAATAAAAATTTACGGTAATAGGCCGGTTTTTAGCAAGGTTCATCCTGCCAGTTCGATTAGCCCTTTCGATTGCATCAAGGTTAACTTGAATTCCAAGCCCTTCACGGCCTATTTGGAGGACTAGTTTTTCCGAAACCGTTGACATTTCAGTAGCAGCGTACCAAGGTAAAAAAAAAAAAAAGTAAGTTGAAACGACGGAAACGGCTTTCAGCATTGCAGGAACCCTGCTTAAGAAATTTTATCTGGGAAAGCCCAGATTTGACCTTTGTCTCGATTTCCATCGCCACGTTAGCTTGGGATTTGCAAACTGCAAGATCAGTTTCTATAGTCCCGACGCGTGTTTGCAAAGCAGAGAACGAGTCACTTGTGCGTTTATGTTCGTCTGTTATCTCTTTTAATTGATCCACAACACCTGTCTGGCCTTCGTGTAATTGGATAAGAAAAGATTTAATCTGAGACAGCGAGTCTACATGTGCTTTACTCTTGGGGATCGGGCTAGGTTCGACGTCACCATATAGAAGCAATCACAGGTATAGAAAACAATTAGACAAATCCGCGGGCCCAGCAGAACAACAATACAAACGTCGCTACATCTAACTGAGCAAGGAAGTTCATTTCTTCTCATGTGCGCAGTGAAAAGAAATGGGATGTTGTGCGTCATGTTTATAGCCTGGTAGCCGCGCCCACTGGATAACGATTCGCGCGCTGCTGCTTTTGTGGACAGCGCGATTAATGTCGATGCTTGCAGAGCTGTTGTCACCAACCACATCGGCGAATGGAGGAACGGAAAATGTTTTCACAAAACGTGAAGCTGAAGGAATTCAGTGACGTGGCTTTTATAGCCTCAAAGGATATGTCTGCATTTACCGTGAGGGTTGAGTTAATGCCACCGTAGTACGTTAGGAACTGAAGCTGCACAGTGGACGGACGTGGGATGTTACGCGTCGATTTTCGTAGCCTGGTAGCTGTGCCCTCTCTGCATCTAATTAGAGCCTAAACATTTGTTTACCCTTTAATTTGACACAAAATTTATTTTTTATGAAATTGAACGTGTCAAAATGTGTAATCATCAAGGTTTAATATATTATTCAAAGTTTTTTTTTTTATTTTTTTTTTACAAAATAAATAAGAATAGTAATTTTTATGAGCGTCTTCCGCTTTTATTGTAGCTTAAAAGCCATATAAAAATTTCGTTGGTGTGCGAATGGTATCTTAGTCTGGCGAAACTTTCAACTACTCAACTTGTAACGATCGCCCAAATCCCAGAATCCGCCTTTCGACCTTCGAAGTAGAAAACTGGAGGACTAAAATGGGGCGTAAAAACGGATCTCCGTTCCGTCGAAGCAATGATTGGCCCAGGGTTTATTTTTTGTCAAACATTTTTGAGACATGACCCCCTTTCCTGCACGAATAGAAATCAAATCACACAATATTAATAATGGCCAGTTATTTCGGTAAAACATAAATCATAACATTTGCATCATACCACTAGCAAATGATACAAAAATATTTGTTAGAAAATAAAATTTGCAGAAGTAATTTTTCCTTGCGTGCATTAGGTATAAACACTTGCCACTTTCATAAGAAGCGCGACGAAAATATAAAAAAGTATGTTTACAGGCACTTTTATAAAAAAATAGTATAGAAACTCGAAAAACGTGGCTTCTCACATCGTTTTATTATGAAATTATATCTTGTACGAAACGATATTTGTTGCCGAAAAAAAAAAAAAACTTGGGTAAAATTGTTTGACCCTTCAAGATGTTTCAGTTTAGATGTTGCAGGGTTGTCGAAAATCATTCATTCCGAGAAAACTACTTTATATGGTGACAGTAATAAAACTATGTCAGCATTCTCTAGGTGACATGCAAGCTGGTAAGATTAGTTCTAAAAATTTAGTCAATAGAAATGGTAATTTTGGGGTATTGGTATATGTGTTTTCTTTAGAATGACACAATATTCCTGTTGCCGGTTATGTCCTTCATTACAAAAGCGGGTCCTGACATATGTTGGTGCAGACGCGGTACTACCGCCGCCTAAAATTTCTATATGGCGGATACCTTGCCGTTTCTTTTTTTCCAGAATCAGCCAACAAGGCGAAGTCCACACTTGGTGCCCTACAAGACAGTTGATGACATCATCAAGAAGGCCAACAGGTTTGTTGAAGGGCTTCACTCAACAAGCTCATTGGAAATAGCTTTTCTGCTTTTACTTCATGTAAATAATACTTATGCCTGACGGCATTCACTGTTAGCCAAATTTGCCGCGTTGCTTTCTAACTTCTACTTCACCTTGTTTTGCTGATTTAAGATATGATAATTTACAATGTCACAAGTTTCACGCGATACAGCAAAAAAAAAAAAAGGTTTCTTTGTTATAATGCATAATCCACGGGTGGAAGTTGTTTAAAAGGCGCTCCGCCAGTTTAGAGTCAACGGTTTGATCTGCATGTGTGAATGCTTTTCATGAAAAAAATCGGGTGAATATGATTTAACCACAACATAACCTTTGGCATCATTCTAGTTTTAAGCTGACTATTTCGGCTACCTCAAGTTTGGCGAGAAGGATTAACAAAAGAAGCAAAACGATGCTCATATGTTTGCTTGTGTTTTTTTTTTTTTTTTTCTGTATTATAGCTTTTCCATCTAGTTGATCCTGAGGAACGCCTATGTTTTGAATAACACATTTTGCACCAGGGACCTTTTGCCTTGTAGTTATGCATCGCTACGTGACTCAGGATTGCTAAAATAATACTAAAACTAAGAAAACGGTTTCCTTTGCTGTAGGGAAGATTGATGGAATTGGAATACTCGGGGAACTCCTGAGCACACCCCGAAAATCATAGGGTTCTTAGGAGTATAGTGTGAGACAGACTGAAGTAGATGGTGTTAGTCTTAGTTGCAGTATATTAGTGTTATTATTGCATTGTCAGAATTTTAACGCGCCTTCGATATTAACACGAATGTCTAATTAACTCACGGATACTTGAGAGGTACCTAGATGCTGATGCTACTGAGCAGAAAAATTAGTAACGGCTCAACAATGCATACCTTGTAACACCCATTTTGTAGAATGCACATTCACAAAGGGTACCACACAATGTGCTCTGTCTTAGCTTAAGCAGTGTTGTATAAAGTACAGAATTTTTCAAATGTTTAGAGCCCACCTTGCGCGTGGCCCGTGCTGGCTCGTTCCCGTGCAGCGGCGCTCTTATCGTCGGCGCTCGCTGGCTGCGAGATTTCTGAGAGCGAGTGAAAACTTCGCTCTCGCGTCGCGCTCGCCTCGATAACAAAGTAACGCAAAATACCAGGTGCGCCCTGCGTCTTTCCTGCGCTCGTTGTGTGCTACTGCTGTGCGGAGGCGTTTTTGTAGCAAGTGATGGTGCGTTGCCCTTGCGCTTTATAAATAAATTACAGCCAGCCGCCTCAAGGAAAACGTGTATGTCTTCCCTTTCCTTTCATTAAACAAATTATGTTCTGCGGTGGATAAGCACTTTTCGTAGTGTCTTCAGGGTTGACATCATGCAAAATATTGGTATATTTCTTGCACTTCTGCCCCGCTGATGGCTCGGGCGCAATTTTTACAGCAAAGTAAAGCAATATGACGTCGCCCAGCTTCTGGCTTTATGGGTGAAAATGCTCATCTAGAGAAAATTATTCCTTCGCAAGCACTCCTGTCTTAACAGACGTCAAAGCCAGTAGCGCGGCAGAAGTGCAATACATACACCAATCTTGTGCATGATGCCAGCCCTGAACACACGACGAAATATGTTTACCCACGTCACAATGTATTAATTTGTTTAATGTAAGGAGAGGGAAGACAAACACGTAATTTTACTGTGACGGCTGGTGGTGCTTTATTTATAAACCGCAGGGGCAGCGTTTTTCTATGTTAAAAGCCTGTCACCTCTACGTTTTCATGTTTCTTTTCAACCCGAGTCTCAGGTTAATTCAACATAGTTAAAATACACCAGCTCGCCCGCACCCTTACCATATTTTGTCTGATCATCCTTCACTTGCGTGAAATTTGTTCGGATTCGCAAACTCGCTAATTCAATACTCCTTTACTTCGAATAGAATCAGAAGAAAACTGATGCTTTCCTTCAGATGGAAAGCCTCGCCTCGCCTTTAGTCGAGAAGATGGTCAGTTGGTTGAGCCATAGCCTCCTCTATACAGAGAAAGCCTGGCACATCGACGACGGAACAATAGGGCGCGCAGCCGCAGGAAAAAGGAGAGGAGGAGCGCGCCGAACGGTGACCAATATGGTAGCGCAGAGCAGAAAGGGCAGACCTAGACAGCGAGCGCTTGGGTCATGAGCGGCCGCTTCCCGAACCACGCTAGTTTTTGTGTTTTCGTCACCGTCGTTTTCGTGCTCCGGGAGAAGTGGGCGCGGCGATTCGAAAGGGCGCAGGGAGAAACGGGAAAGGGTGGACGTTGAGTTTCTCCTTTCCACGACAGCGACAAGAAAAGAGAGAAAAAAAAAAAAGATTGTTTCTGTGTTTGGCCGCTCGCTCTTTTGTGGCGCTAGCAGGCAAGGTTCTCTCCACTCCCGTTTCTCCGCCCCTCCTTTCCCATTTACGGCGGCCGCCTTTTCTCGCGACGCGCCAGGCTTTCTCCGTATAAAGGAGGCTATGGTTGAGCTGTCACTATTCATATAGCTCACAAGTAATCTCTCCAATTCCGGAAAACTTAAGCCCATTAGCACTCGTGCGAGAAGGCCGGAAAAAGCGAGGAGGAAAATGGAGGAGGAAAGGGGACGAGGAAAGGGGAGGAGGAAAAAAAGAAAAGAGGGGGAATCTTCTGCCACGCTGAAGAAAATTTTGAGCGCCCGCCTTTTTAAGCCAGAGTAAAAAAATGAAAGCCGTTTACAAATCCCTGTAACGCCGAATTGGAGCGCAGCTCTTAAAAGGGGTAGGGAAGGGTACTGAGGGGGGTCACGTCACCTCCCGGTAGTCACGTGACGTGGGGGTTCACGTGACCTCGGGGGTCACGTGACCCCCCCCCCCCCCCGGTTACGCCGACGCCGACGCCGCTCAGGCTGGAAACGGGCCCCTAATGGTACGTTTACACCTGAGAAGAAATCCGCTGCCGCGGGAGCGGATCCGCTCCCGGCGGCGGCGGCGACGAGCGGGTTGCGTTTACATATCTGTTTCCTTCGAGCAGTGGCGGCAGCGCCGGCTGCGGCAGCGCTTCCCGTAACGTCTCGACAAATATGACGAGAAGGCGCGAGAGTTCCCGCCTCGGCTCTCTCTCTCCCGGGCGTTGCGGCTCCCGGAAGAACGCGTACTCGTGACGTAGGCAGCGTCGCGCCGCGCAAGAATGCCACTTCCGGTCAGCGAAACGCCTCGTTCGGCGGCAGAAATAGATCCCGGACCTAAACGGCTCGCCGCCGCGTTTTCCGCCCAGCGTTTCGCCCCAGCGGCAAAAGCTGGGCGGATTCGCTGGCGGATCCGCAAGTGTAAACGTACCATAAGAGCTACGCTCTAAAAATAATTAACTGAATATGAAGCTTAAATAGCAATTGTTTTCTTGGCTACGTACAAATGGATTTAGAAGACCAGGTCTCTGAAGACACGGTATGTATTTTCTCTCAGAATTAACCCATGCTTTCAACTTTGCAGGGACACAGCCAGTGAGCTGGTGCGTACCCTCCTGGCCTATGGCTACGTGCTGGAACCTCCGACTGCAGACAGCCTCGAAGGTGAGACACGTCCGAGCAGTCGCTTGCGGATGTCCCACCTATGCACAAGCACAGCCCATCTTTTTTTCTGAGCAGACAGATGTCTGTCAAGTGGCCCGTTCAATTCATTCATTTATTCGAAAACCTCATGAACCCTTTAAAGGTATAACATAACCTGTAGATAGCAACGAAAGAAAGGTACAATGTCACAAAAACAAATGCATTATTGGGGTAAGCATAAAAACGCAAAATAAACTCCATTAGACCGAAATTCAATATTACGTAATAGTTTTTTTTTAATGCAGTTGAGTGATTAGTAGCTAAAGTGTTCTGGAGAATAGCGTTCCAGTCAATGGCCATGCGTGAAAAGAAGCAGCTTTGAAAAGTGACGGTTCTTGTCTTAAGTTGTCTTACATTTATGTTATGTCTTGTATGATGACGGTGGCCTTCTGAAAGGACGATGAATAATGACCGGAGCATGGGCTGTAGGAAAACTGTAAAAACAGGATAGCATAGAAAGTTTGCGACATTCATATAGGGTGGGGAGGTAGGCACGAATTCCAAGATACGTGGTGCTTGTAAAAGAAGTATGATCTGGGTGAATAAAACCTAAAGCTCGACTTTATAATGGGTTTGTCACTTAACGTTGTCTGTGAAACGACAGCCTGCGATGTCATTGACAAGTTCTAGACCTTACTAGAAATTTAAAATAGAAGTGAGCCGAGGAGGACTTTTTAAGTAATACTTGAGTAAGACGTTGATGGGGATGATGATAGGGGTTTAATGACGCGTTGACAACGGAGGCCATATTGCGCCAACTAAATGTTTAAAATGCATTAAACAAAACGGGTTGAGAGAGCAGGGTAAAATTTACCGCTTGTATAAATAGCCAGTTTTTCTCAAGTAATAAACAAACACGATGAAAGGGCAGAAAAGGGAAGTCACTTAGTAAAAACAGTGGATGGAAAGAAATATGACATCTAAAAAGTTCAGGGAAGCTAGATCGAAACAGTTGATGGGGAAATGCGAAATGCCATAAAATGGTGCAACACTGTAAGTCCTCGCCCACCATGCGCTCAAAGCTTTTTACTTTCTCGCCACGAAGAAGTCGCAAGTTCGTCAAGCGTGTGCGGCCAATCTTCAGGCGTCAGAGAAGAACCTCTACACGCCGTTCCTTGTGAAACAGGCTTTCCCAAAATGCCAAGATGGGATTGATGACAAAAAGATTATTTTCACATATCTTATCCTACTGTAATGGCGCATTCACACTGGCGGTTGAGCTGCGTTTCCGAAGCGGTTGCGGATGAGGTTCGCGAGCGACCCCGTTCAGACACACCGAATGGCGGTTGGCAAGAGGCGGTTGGCGGTTCCTCGTCGATCACGGGTGACCTTTTGACACCTGTCTTGCAACCCTGTTTTACAGTCCAAACTTGACTTTAATAGACGATCCAAAGCCAAGCTTTTGCTATTTTAGCACTCTGAATATTTTTCTTCGGGATGTTTGTTCAGGCAGCAAAAAAAAAAAAAAAAGACATGGACCCGCAAAACTCGCCCGCAATTCCCCCAACTTCGCCCAAAAACAAAGCCCAGCTAGTCAGGCGCGCCATGCTGACTCAGAAGAGGACGCTCCCGATCTTTTCTTCGCCTTTCCCGCATGAATAGGCTCATCTCGTTTTCGGGACAGAGGGCCAGTTTGCCTCCCTCGTTGTTTGCTCTTATCATTTTCGAAGTTGTGAGCGGTGGGGTGGAGCGTGTTGCGGGGGATTGTGTTCGGTGGTAGCCGGTCGTGGCTTCGTTGGTGGCGGACTCTCCTCTCGTCACTCGCACATCGATCGAGTCTACTGTTTGTTTTACTTCAAGCTTAAATAAACGCCATATGGATTACCCATGCATCGTCGGGTACGTATACTTTGTAAAAGTGTGTAGAAGTCTGTAAACTGTGTGAAAGTCTTGCATAGTGATAATAAACTGTGCGGCCAGTGCAGTGGCAATACACAATTCGGGAAAAAATAAATCTGCATATTATCTGTCTTAGCTTGGATTTTACAACCAATACAGCTCCAAACGACTGAATGGAACTCAAGTTTAGTGTGTATCAAACAACAGTATAAATTGAATATACAATCTGATGATGAGAATTCACACGTTTGGAAATGATACCTAGAGTCCGGAAACCAGCATTCATAATGTAAGAAAGATGTTTGTTGAAGGACGAAGTTGTGTCAATATATGCTCCTAGATCTTTTCCGCACTGCACCCTAAGCAAGGGTAAATTGTCAAGAGAGTAAGAAAAACTTGCAATTTGGAATTTTTTTAAAAGGTCAAAGTTACTGTTTTATTAGTATTTCGATCTAACAAATTGCGGTAGCACCAATTACGCACTGAATCAACATCATTGATCAGCAGTAGAGAGTCATCGCCAGGTGACACCTACCAAAACAATTTTATATTATCGGCATATTGCAAAACGTTTGAATGGCGGGTACAAGAACTGAGACAATGTATGAAAACATTGAATAGAATTGTTCCAAGTACGGACTCCTGCGGCACACCTGAATGTGACAAGTCGGAATGTTCTATAAAGTTACAATCACAAGGTGCACTTTCGAAAGTGTACAAAGAAAATATTTAGTTAAATATAACGGTATTTAAAGGATTATTAAAACACATGTGCCTTGTTTTCGAAGTGTCTATGGTTCTGAAAGTCTGGGGAAACCGGTCCAAGAACCGATTGCTGTCGTTCTGCTCAATTATAATCACTTGATTATAGTCAAGATTCCTAGACGAATCAGTGTCGTTGGCGCAATGACACAGTTTACATTTGTTAATCGCGCCTGCCATGTCCCTGACAAATAGGTTTATCGCAATAGTGAAAGCACGGAACCCTGTGGTACTCAGGCTTTTAGAACGACACGTGAACTTCCAAGGTTTCAAATTTAAATTTCTTCGGAAGGCCCTGTTTAAAAGGTATTATTAACGAACAAATGAACCGCGGAAGACATAGTTGAGTACTTTTTTTTTTACAAAATATTATGATTAACAGTATCAAATGCTTTTGCTAGGTCGACAGAACGTGCACACGCGAGCTTATCTTTTTTTAAATGCACCGTGCACCTCAGCTGAATATTACTCAAGTGGGGTTTGCGTTCCACGCCCCCTAACAAAGCCATATTGATTGGGACAAAGGGTTCTCTAGCAAGTTTATCATATTACTTTGGGAATATGCTTTTGGAGAATCTACGCAATACATGGTAGGAGCAAGATAGGATGAGAGTTTTCCACTCGATCACGTTCACCTCTTTGTATAACGGCTTCACAATTGCTATTTTAGGCCATCTGGAATAGTGGCCTTTAAAAAGAAATCCATTTTACATGTGAAGTATAATGTTTTTTTGCTATCAATATTTATTCTGAGGTCATCAAAAATATGCACTCAGTGCCCGGTGATTTTTTGGATTCTAAACTAAATATGTTTGTAGATTAATCGTCCTCATTTTGGGGTAAACAGCTGAAGCGACGTTTGAAACTCCTAGTTTTATTGTTAAAAATATCATGCGTAGGGTTCTTGTCGTCGAAGAAAACGTGTTGAATGCAATCACTGTCGAAGCCATGTATGCTCAAATCTATCTCTAAGGCTCTCGTCGGTAGAGCATTTTGCGATTTTACCTTTAGGTTCATTCAATAGGTTCAAAGTTGTCGCTACATTGGACACCGCTTCGAAACTTTTTTCCTGATAATAATATTTTGGCTGAGCGTATGAGTGCGTTCACATCATTTTGCGTGGAACGAAATTCTGCTTTCAAAAGTTGGTTTCCGGGTGATTGCCGACTCCAGCTCCAGAGAAAATCTTTATATCTAATAGCGTAAAGAATGTCTCCGTTAAACTACCGGTAATCACCTTGGCTCTTCGAACGTGTGCAAGCTTTTTCGCTTACAGTGTGGGGATAATTGTGGGTTAAACTTGCGTAAAAGTTAGCCGCGTCCTTGTTTTTTTGTTAAACCTTCCCATCTGTATTCAGCTATTAGTTTAGCAATTTTTATTCGATAGATTATTCTGACTCGTTGTCTCTTTTATTGATAGTGTTTAACTCATTCACGATGGCAAGTTAAGAGGCAAGGAAATGTTGGTCAGACAGTTTTTGCTCGATCGCTGTAGGTGTTTCAATGGCATCCAGCGTGCATAGATGAATGGGGTCTATCCACGACACCGCGAAGTTTCCGCCAAATGGCTATTAATGTAAATCACGTGTTCATCATGCATTTAATACATTGGCTGGACATCAGATTAAGATATTTGAAAAGAACTGCTCTTGTCGTATTGATGTTATGTTCTCTTATTAAGCATATTCGATCCCTAGCTTTTAATTATATAACATATCGCTCACTTCGTAAGAAACCTTGATGAGTTGGTAACACGAGCTTTATACAACGCGAAAAGACATAGCGAGAATTTATCATTACATATTCGTATTGGTAAAAATTCAGCTTGTGAAAATTGTTTTATCAAGTTTCAGAGTTGACTTCGGCTGCTATTCCTCCTCGTAGCTTGTGGTGTCGCCTCGTATCCAGGAAGTGAGAACTGATCTCAAAACGTTGGTTTCAAATTAATCTCTGTGAGAACAAAAACATCCCAGGAAGCCGTCTCGTCATTTGTCTGTTCATGAAATTGGTCCCAGTGCTTGCGAATGGTTATAACATTCACATGTAACAGTAGTAGGGAGCAGTTGGCATCATGTTCTACAACTCGCTAAAACAACAAATAGTCCGAGCATTAAAAAAAAAACTTTCTGTATTGATGCTTTCTACCAGTGGCAACAAACCAGATTCCCATTTTTTTCAGATCTTACAATAAAAATAACAACGTGTAAAAAATACCACTTCTTCCGTTTTTGTTTTTCGTCCATTAGAGACATCACTCGTGTGACTCTCGCGTAATTTTATAGAAAACATGTCAACACAGTCTAGTTTTTAAACTCTGTCCGTAATTTGTGTACACTTTGTGAATGACGAAAGTTTCTGAA